GTGTGTGTGTATTTTTTAATTTATTTGTACATACAGAACTGGGGTACAATCCAGAGGTGCAGGGGAGGTGAGAGGATTCACCAGAGACAGAATGGGGAGTGGAACAGGCAGATAGATAAAGTACACTGCTGAAGGGAGCCGTGGGCGAGACAGGAGAGGTCTGTTACGCCATATGTATCACCTCCAGGGCCAGGGATCGAACTTGCACTGAAGCAGCTGCAGCCAGCCTGCAGTGCTGTGTCCTAACCCATTGTGTCAACAGGGAGGGCCTTTTTTTTTTTTTTTTAAAGATTGATTTATTTATGCATACAGAACTAGGGTACAGGCCAGAGGTACAGAGGCAGTGAGAGTATTCACCAGAGGCAGAATGGGGAACAGAACAGACAGATGGACAAAATACACTGCTGAGGGGAGCAGGTGGTGGCTCAGCAGAGGTCTGCTATGCCATGTTAGGTCACTCCCTGACGGGGTGGGGGAGATCGAACTTATGCTGAAGTGGATGCTGCGAGCCTCATGGTGCTGCACCTTAACTCATTGCACCACCAGGGAGAGCCCTATGCACATATGTTTTTACATTTTTAAAAAATCACAAGCTTTGCATTTTAATTTTTAGAATGTATGTCCTTTTTCTTACACTGTTAATTTTTAGACAACATATGTTTCTCCTCTCAGGCATGGACACTGTAGTTTCCCACCACTAAGGTACCCCATATTCCCTTGTGTTCTCTTCCCCGCCCCCCCCCACTTTTTTTTCACCCCTCCCCACATACTCCCTCTCCTCTCCTGGATACCTCATTAGTTTTGATTTGTATTTCCTTGATGATAATTTTTTCCTTATGATAACTTCTGAAATTTCTTAGCAACATTCAAGTATATAGCACTTTTTTTTTTTTTTGGTAATACAGTATTAACTATAGACATACTATATAGTATACCCCTACAACTTGTCTGTCACTGAAAGTTTGTACTTTTTGATCTACTTAACCCATTTTGCCCACTTTCACAATCCCTGGCTTTGGTGACCAATGGTTGTTTCATTTTTCAAATTACACATTCAAGTGAGATTATATATTTGTCTTTATCTGACTTATTTGCATAAGAATTTCAAGATACTGTCCATATGGTAATATCTTGTTTGCAGTCAAGGAGGTGATACTGTCAGCTTTGTTCTTTCTCAAGATTGCTTTGGTTTTCTGAGGTCAGAAGTTGATTTTTTCAAATGTCTCGCACATATTCATATCAGCAGTAGGAGGTTTGGTACCTTAGGACCTACTTGACCACTACTAGTAGCAGAATTCTCAAGATTTTTTTTTTTAAACACTAGTTTATTTTTACATCATTTTGTGCATTTTCCCATGTCATTTACAATCCCCTTGGGGTTCCCATCACCAAATCATACATGTGCCATCACCATACTCTAGTGCATTTTCCTCCCCCAACTGTTTTTTGATCCCATTCCCCACTCAACCCCATAATATGTCTCTGGTATATAGCTGTTCATTATTATAATTTTCTTGCCTGGTCCGTTTTACTCCTGCTGTGAGTGAAACCATCCAATATTTATCCTTTTCTTTCTGGCTTATTTCACTAAGCATGATCTTCTC